ACATGATAACGACCCCAAACACACCTCCAAGACGACCACTGCCTTGCTAAAGAAGCTGAGGGGAAAGGTGATGGATTGGCCAAGTATGTCTCCAGACCTAAACCCTATTGAGCATCTGTGAGGCATCCTCAAACGGAAGGTGGAGGAGCGCAAGGTCTCTAACATCCACCAGCTCCGTGATGTCGTCATGGAGGAGTGGAAGAGGACTCCAGTGGCAACCTGTGAAGCTCTGGTGAACTCCATGCCCAAGAGGGTTAAGGCAGTGCAGGAAAATAATGGTGGCCACACAAAATATTGATACTTTGGGCCCAATTTGGACATTTTCACTTAGGGGTGTACTCACGGTTGTGGCCAGCGGTTTAGACATTAATGGCTGTGTGTTGAGTTATTTTGAGGGGACTGCAAATTTACACTGTTATACAAGCTGTACACTCACTACTATACATTGTAGCAAAGTGTCATTTCTTCAGTGTGTTCACATGAAAAGATATAATAAAATATTTACAAAAATTTATATATTAGCTAAAAAATATAAATAAAACTTACCTTTGAAATTATATTTAAAAACATTTTTGAAAATGATTATGAAGTACACTCACGTGTTTTCAAGGAAAATATGTTAATTTCACTTGATGGTTAAGCCATATGACATTTCTAGAGTAAATAAGTGTAAAGTATTCTTGAAAATGGTATAAAGGTTTTTAAAAATCATATGAAAACAACAAAGTGTACATTTCTAAGAATTTGGCACATGTGTTTTAAACCAGATTTTTATAAGATTTTTTTAATAACCAAACAGTTGACGGTAGCCACTGAATTCCATATTATTTGTTTTCCATACTATGGACGCCAATGACTACCGTCAACTGTTTGGTTACCAACATTTGTCAAAATATCTTCTTTTGTGCTCAACAGAAATTAATACAGGTTTGTAACAAGTGGAGGTTGTGTATAATGATCCCTTTAAGGTTAAGGTTCTTCAGGTTCCATTTGGAAAAATTTATTAATTACATTAGTTAAAGAGATAGTTCACCCAAAAATCATAATTTTTTATTTTTACTCATAATTTACTCACCTTCATGAGACTTTGATTAATCTTCAAAACACAAATGGAGATTTTTATTGAAACCTGAGATGTTTCTGTCCCTCTATTGAAAGTCCAGGGAACCAAAACTTATAAGATCCAGAAGGTTATAAAGGCAGTGTAAATTGAATCCATATGAATCCAGCGGTTTAATCCAAGTCTTGTGAAAAGATGCTACTACTTATTATGATGAAGATGAACAGATTTAAATTGGTTACCTAGATTTTCAACAGAGAGACAGAAACTCAGGTTTTATTACACAACTTAATTTGTGTTTCAAAGTTTAACCAAAGTCTCATGATTCCGAATATGTTAATTTCACTTGATGGTTAAGCCATATGACATTTCTAGAGTAAATAAGTGTAAAGTATTCTTGAAAATGGTATAAAGGTTTTTAAAAATCATATGAAAACAACAAAGTGTACATTTCTAAGAATTTGGCACATGTGTTTTAAACCAGATTTTTATAAGATTTTTTTAATAACCAAACAGTTGACGGTAGCCACTGAATTCCATATTATTTGTTTTCCATACTATGGACGCCAATGACTACCGTCAACTGTTTGGTTACCAACATTTGTCAAAATATCTTCTTTTGTGCTCAACAGAAATTAATACAGGTTTGTAACAAGTGGAGGTTGTGTATAATGATCCCTTTAAGGTTAAGGTTCTTCAGGTTCCATTTGGAAAAATTTATTAATTACATTAGTTAAAGAGATAGTTCACCCAAAAATCATAATTTTTTATTTTTACTCATAATTTACTCACCTTCATGAGACTTTGATTAATCTTCAAAACACAAATGGAGATTTTTATTGAAACCTGAGATGTTTCTGTCCCTCTATTGAAAGTCCAGGGAACCAAAACTTATAAGATCCAGAAGGTTATAAAGGCAGTGTAAATTGAATCCATATGAATCCAGCGGTTTAATCCAAGTCTTGTGAAAAGATGCTACTACTTATTATGATGAAGATGAACAGATTTAAATTGGTTACCTAGATTTTCAACAGAGAGACAGAAACTCAGGTTTTATTACACATAACTTAATTTGTGTTTCAAAGTTTAACCAAAGTCTCATGATTCCAAAGGTGAGAAAATGAAGACAATTTTCACTCTTGGGTGAAGTATCTCTGTAACATGAACTACCAATGACAAATCGACCTAATGTGAGGTAATGTTACAGTAATTTCAATATTTACCAATACATTATTTCAATCAAAAGACCCAAAATGACCCAATTAAGTTGCCAGTGTGGCCTGTAAATGACAGAAAGCAGCAGAGCAAGTTCTGATGCAAGAATAACATGCATGGATGAATCGTTCACAATAATATCAAGAATGTGTGTTAAAGTAAATAAAGTCCATTCAGCTTGTTGACTTTAATTGAATTTACAATCTTGAACTGAGTGAAGAGTCCAACCGATCCCACAGGACCCCGCTTCAATTTGTTTAAAATTAAAGCTCAGTGTTTTAAACCTCATGGGTGTGAAGCTCCAAATTGGAGCGGCGTTATTAAAAACATATGCTGTTGAAGAGCATCAAATGGCTTGAAAGTCACAGCTGTTGCTGTATCTTTAACATTGACACGCCATCCATAAAACGGCTGAATATTAAAGCCATCTTGACAGCGCATAAAGCCTTCATAATACCTCAGCGCCTCATTCAGGCTAATGAAGTAAACAAACCAGCTAATGCGTCTGCTCACCTTCAGCTTGGAGTTATGAGCGACAGCAGGTGTCTTGTCCTCTTTTGGGTGTATGTGCAGCTCCCATTTCCCAAAGTCCTTTTTACTGTAGCGATGTGAAAAATTATCCCAGCCATCTATTAAAAGAAAGCAATTGCAGTTAAAAATTTTCCCTGCTCGATACATAATATTATATAAAAATGTTTTGTCTGCGCAAAGCTTGCAAGGACGGTGTGACGTGTTTGTTAAGATGCTATGAGTGCTTTATCATCGTTGCTAGGGTGTTCTGAGTGGTTGCTAGGGAAAGGGAAATAGGGATGTGCAAAACTACATGTTTTCAAAATGGACTTCCTGATTGGTTAGCTGTTCATATTACCATTAAATTTAAATCTAGCACCTCCAATCTGAAAATAACCACTGAAACTATGATCCTATGGAATCAGACATCAGACTTGGGGCCGACTGATTCCAACTCATTCTGACTTCAGTGAACAGCATCATTTGACAGCATTTCCAAAATGGTGGCTACTAAGAAAGGGTTGAGAGGTTTTATGGTGAAAACATGTCTAATAACTAAAACACAGTGTACTAATTAAGCTACAAATTAAATGAACAATATAGATGGTGCTCTCGAGTCAGTTCGAGATATCAACCTCAAATTTGGAACACAACTTGTTTATTTATGGCTTTGATTCATTTCAGGTTTATTTTTTCACAATTTTAGAGTAAAACATGTTTTAGAAAATATACGTTTTATTTTTTATTTTTTTAAGTGAAAATATTATGTTTGCACATTTTTCATAACAAACAGATGTTTGGTCTCTTTTAGAGGTGGGGTATGTATGTTTTTCAAAAACGCTTTAGAAAACTTAGTCGGGCCGAGTCCCAAAACAAACTTGTAGCCAATCAGCAGTAAGGGGCGTGTCTACTCATGATGGGACGAGAGAGCGCTCAGTGCACAGGATGGACATTAGCCGAGCCGAGCAACAACAGAAAGATAGAGATGGCGGATAAATAACACAAGAGGAAAACGTCTGCGTAACAAAAGAAGGCTTATGATAAGGCAAGTAGGACCCGTGTAAATTTCGGATCAGCTTTCCAGCGCTGGAGAGAACTCAAGGAGCGGGAAGGCCTGCGATCGGATGCCGAGGTTGCTTTGTTTCTTCTCGATAGGTGAGGAACATTGGCCTCCTCCACGGTCTGTTTCAAGCGTCAGCTCCCAAAGTGTGTCCGAAAAGTAAGATAATATGTTTAACACAGCATACAGCAGATTCCGCCATAATCGTTGCCTGGGTTGCATATGTATGTGTGGGGTGGAGCTATCAAAATAGGGGCGTGTTTGTTTTGGTGATTTGAAATATCAACGTTGGCTATCAGAAATCACTTACCACACCTTTAAAGAAGACACTTGGCAGATTAATAATAAAGAAAAAAAAATTAAGCAATAATAAAGAAAAATAATAAAGCTATAGAAGTTTTATGCTCAAAAAGTGGTTATTAATTATTGCATAAAAATGTAATACCATAAACACAAGGTATTTGACCACTAACACAAGGTGCACCAGAAGGATAAAAAAAGTGCATCATAACAGTCCACTTCTTGCATAATTAAAGTCTGGCCGGACCACTTTTCACCGGGAACATAATCCAGTTGACACTCAACTCATTCGAGTCCAGTCAGCCAGAGTCTGCATCTGGTTCTTATCGTCCAGAGCCTGACCCAGGAAGGCAGCAGGAACAAAGCAACCAGAAAAGCAGCCTGTGCCCAGTTAGTGGCATCTACCTGCCATCAATCAAGCCTCTGCCAGCGTGTCACACCACATAATGGACAGCAAGAGTGGAAGAGACTGGACACTAAACACAGAGATACAGTACTGGCTTTGTAAGCAGATAGATTAGAAATTAATCTCAGCCTCACGGCCAGCAACTGGGTCAATGATATGATGCTATTTTTTGGTCAATTAATTTAATAAAAAAAAATGTTAAAAAATCAGACATTCAAATTTAAAATTCATTTGCAGAGATAAAGTAAAAACTGTCAAGGTGAAGATAACTGCTCTTATATCATAAGAAAAAAAAAGCCTAACTGACCTATCGGTAAGCCCCACCCCCCTTAGTTACTGTTGCTCACTCGGACAAACAAAGTAACAAAGAGTTATGAACTCTCTTACAGTGACAGATCGTGATCGTTTTGCCATTTTTGTAAAGCATAAACACCATCAAACCGATGAGAGCTTCGGATCTTCCAATGTTTCTCTATGGCGCTGAAACCTAAAGATGTCCGAGTTCCGGTCCCCGTGCAACTGATACTCAACTGCCATTGGCTCATCTGCGTTCGATGGGAGGGGCTTACTGATAGGTCAATTAAACAAATGAAATTCTTGAAAAGAATTAGTCAGATAATTTTACATTTTTATAAGGAAAAACTAGTTTAGGCTGTAAAATGTCACGTGGTGCAACTTAATGATATATTTGAATTAATAATTCATGATATTTCCAAAAAAAAATACAAATTAGATAAATAAAATAAATCAAAGTAACCTTGAAAATTATATTTAAAATAATTTTAGAAAATGATTATGATGTACACTCAAGTATATTCAAAGGTGTAAGGAATATTTTTCTTGATGGTTACACCATATGACATTTTTACAGTCATTAAATGTAAACTATTCTTAAAAACGGTATAAAAATAAAGTAGTTTTTCAAAATCATATGAAAACAAAATAAAGAGTACATTTTAAACCAGATTTTTTAAAGATTTTTTGATAACCAAACGGCTACCGTCAACTGTTTGGTTACCCACATTCTTCAAAATATCTTATTATTATACTGGTTCACACAGGTTTGGAAGTGGAGGATGAGTATAATGGCAATTTTCATTTTTTGGTGAAATTTCCCTTTACGATTAAGGTTATTAAGGGTTCCATTTGGCAAAATTAATTAGCTACATTAGTTAAAGGCATAGTTCAGCTAAAAATGCAATTACAAAATTGCTAATTAAATTAGTTTATGTTCGCTAAAAAGTCTAAAACTGTATTTGGCTTAACCCTGTTAAAAATGTCTTCGAAAGACTTTCCAAAATGGCTATAAAGGCATCACAAAATGAATCAACATTAATTGGTTTAATGCATGCAATATGATGAACAGATTTCGATGGAGGGACAGTAACTCATTACACATTTCTGTGTTTCAACATTAACCCCAGTCTTACAATTTGGAACGACAACATTCATTCTTTGACGAACTATCCCTTTATCACGAGCTAACAATGAAAAATATATCTAAAGTATTAATTCATCTTAATATTACAGTAATTTTAACATTTACTAATACATTGTTATAATTAAAAGTTGTATCTGCTTTCTTTATTTTGGACAGTTTTCTATGTAATTGACCCTGTGCCAGTGTGGCCTATAGGTGATGGAAATTAGCAGAGCAAGTTATTGCATTTTGATGCAAGATTACTTTTAATATGCACGGATGAATCGTTCACAATAATATCAAGAATGTGTGTTAAAGTAAATAAAGTCCATTCAGCTTGTTGACTTTAATTGAATTTACAATCTTGAACTGAGTGAAGAGTCCAACCGATCCCACAGGACCCCGCTTCAATTTGTTTAAAATTAAAGCTCAGTGTTTTAAACCTCATGGGTGTGAAGCTCCAAATTGGAGCGGCGTTATTAAAAACATATGCTGTTGAAGAGCATCAAATGGCTTGAAAGTCACAGCTGTTGCTGTATCTTTAACATTGACACGCCATCCATAAAACGGCTGAATATTAAAGCCATCTTGACAGCGCATAAAGCCTTCATAATACCTCAGCGCCTCATTCAGGCTAATGAAGTAAACAAACCAGCTAATGCGTCTGCTCACCTTCAGCTTGGAGTTATGAGCGACAGCAGGTGTCTTGTCCTCTTTTGGGTGTATGTGCAGCTCCCATTTCCCAAAGTCCTTTTTACTGTAGCGATGTGAAAAATTATCCCAGCCATCTATTAAAAGAAAGCAATTGCAGTTAAAAATTTTCCCTGCTCGATACATAATATTATATAAAAATGTTTTGTCTGCGCAAAGCTTGCAAGGACGGTGTGACGTGTTTGTTAAGATGCTATGAGTGCTTTATCATCGTTGCTAGGGTGTTCTGAGTGGTTGCTAGGGAAAGGGAAATAGGGATGTGCAAAACTACATGTTTTCAAAATGGACTTCCTGATTGGTTAGCTGTTCATATTACCATTAAATTTAAATCTAGCACCTCCAATCTGAAAATAACCACTGAAACTATGATCCTATGGAATCAGACATCAGACTTGGGGCCGACTGATTCCAACTCATTCTGACTTCAGTGAACAGCATCATTTGACAGCATTTCCAAAATGGTGGCTACTAAGAAAGGGTTGAGAGGTTTTATGGTGAAAACATGTCTAATAACTAAAACACAGTGTACTAATTAAGCTACAAATTAAATGAACAATATAGATGGTGCTCTCGAGTCAGTTCGAGATATCAACCTCAAATTTGGAACACAACTTGTTTATTTATGGCTTTGATTCATTTCAGGTTTATTTTTTCACAATTTTAGAGTAAAACATGTTTTAGAAAATATACGTTTTATTTTTTATTTTTTTAAGTGAAAATATTATGTTTGCACATTTTTCATAACAAACAGATGTTTGGTCTCTTTTAGAGGTGGGGTATGTATTTTTTTCAAAAACGCTTTAGAAAACTTAGTCGGGCCGAGTCCCAAAACAAACTTGTAGCCAATCAGCAGTAAGGGGCGTGTCTACTCATGATGGGACGAGAGAGCGCTCAGTGCACAGGATGGACATTAGCCGAGCCGAGCAACAACAGAAAGATAGAGATGGCGGATAAATAACACAAGAGGAAAACGTCTGCGTAACAAAAGAAGGCTTATGATAAGGCAAGTAGGACCCGTGTAAATTTCGGATCAGCTTTCCAACGCTGGAGAGAACTCAAGGAGCGGGAAGGCCTGCGATCGGATGCCGAGGTTGCTTTGTTTCTTCTCGATAGGTGAGGAACATTGGCTTTGCTTTGTTTCACAGAACTAATATATGCTGGCTTTTGCTTGAATATGCTCGTGTGTCATGTTCGCTTGTTTGTTCATCTGTAATCGTATTGTCGTTCCTTTCAGCTATGATAAAGACACATTCATTTCCACACCCTATAAGCCTGGAGCGTCTAAACCTCCTCCACTGTCCGTTTCAAGCGTCAGCTCCCAAAGTGTGTCCGAAAAGTAAGATAATATGTTTAACACAGCATACAGCAGATTCCGCCATAATCGTTGCCTGGGTTGCATATGTATGTGTGGGGTGGAGCTATCAAAATAGGGGCGTGTTTGTTTTGGTGATTTGAAATATCAACGTTGGCTATCAGAAATCACTTACCACACCTTTAAAGAAGACACTTGGCAGATTAATAATAAAGAAAAAAAAATTAAGCAATAATAAAGAAAAATAATAAAGCTATAGAAGTTTTATGCTCAAAAAGTGGTTATTAATTATTGCATAAAAATGTAATACCATAAACACAAGGTATTTGACCACTAACACAAGGTGCACCAGAAGGATAAAAAAAGTGCATCATAACAGAGAGAGAGAGAGAGAGAGAGAGAGAGAGAGAGACAACTATAAGTTTCCTTAGCATATAAGGTGAAAAACTGTAAATTGGTTTAACAGAGCATTATAATTATTTTCATAGTAAAACACTGTTAGTTTATGTGAATAAATAACATTGATTACCATATAATTTACAGTTGAAAACAGTAAAAGGAGTCAAAGGACATATTATTTATTTCATTATATTTAATATGTATGTTATCCGTAATGTATATTGGGTGCTTTGTGATACATTTTTTTTGCATTATTGTAGTATTGTGTTACCCTGATCGTGTTTTGTCTTTGTTTTCTATTTTACAACCTGTGTATTATTATGCTGGTTATCACATTGTATGGCAATTTGGTAATTCACGTTTGATATATTAACATTACACCATTTATGTCTGTGAATTTTTGACCACAGCTGCCGTATTTTTATTTTTTACTGCAGATTCAACAGGATCATTTTATACTCTTCGACAATCTGCATGATTTGAGTTATAATTCATGTCTTTCATGCACTGTATGCCGAATTTTAATAATTAGTGTTAGCAGTTTGTTCAAATCCTGAGAAACAGTCATAGTGATGCTTATCTATCTGTTGCCTAATTTGCATTCTCTCTGATAAAATTACTAACAACCATTTGTTTATTCAAAAACAATGTAAGTTCTGCCATGTGATCAAAGACTACAGAATTTGGCCTGCAGTCTGTAAAGTCTGGCTCATTACTTCTTTAAGAACAAACCTTGTACTTCCTAATGACTAGAAAAGACAAGCAAATGCCTTCAAATCATGCACTTTCTTAGTGAGAAATCATTATGCCAGACTTTTGACAAACAAAAGATTTCAAAAGAAAGGCCCTTCGTGACTGACTGACTGACTGATTTGGTCTTGTAGGCAATTCAGATAACCTTGAAGGGATTCTTCGTTTTGTCTTAACCTGAACACAATGTTCTTTCATCTGGTTTAAGATGAAAAAATTATCTGTCAAAGAGAACAAACAGTCAACTACAAATTGATATAAGATATAGATGAATAGGCAGACTAACTCTTGTATGATTTATGAATTCTGCAAAGGAACAAAATATCAGTACAATAACAAAACTTTCTGAATTATGAATTGCGAAAAAGCTGAAAAGTTGTTGACTACACCTTTTATATAACACTCCACTATTTGCACAACACAAAATATTAAAAATAAATCAAATGTTACCTTACTATTTACATAAAACTGTCTTGCATTTTAAGCATAGTACAGTATGTCTTACTATTTTACGACATTAAATTAATTAAAGTCTAATACATTTGAATTTTACTCAACATACAGCATCTTAAAATAGGTCAAATATTGTCCCTTGGTGTTTACGTAAAACTGTTGCATTTTAAGTGTAGTACATATAGCTTAATATTGTAATCCATTAAAATATTGTGTATTGTAGATTATATTTAATTTGACTGAATATACAAAATCTGAAAATAGGTAAAATATTTGACCTTATTATTTACATAAAACTGTTGCATTGAAAGTGTAGTACAGTATATCAATGTTTTAAGCCATTAAAATCATCATTATTAATGAACAAAGTATTACACATACATTTTATGTTACTAAATAAATTTAAATAATAATTAAAATAATTTTGCTTTATTATTTACATAACAACGGTTGCATTTTAAGTATAGTACTCTACAGCTTAATATTTTAAGCCATTCAAATAATTAATAATTAATGTCTTGCATATTACGTTTTATTTTGATACATTTGAAAATAAATCTAATATTTTGCCTTAAATTCTAAATAAAATTGTGTTGCATTTTATGAGTATTACAGTATAGCTTTATTTTAAGCCATTATAATAATCATTATTCATGTGCAGAGACGTTTACTTGTATAATAAATTAAATATTTGTAATTTATCAATCAAAAATAAATTCAATTATTTCATCTTACTATTTATATATTATATAACAGTGAGTGTTGCATTCTAAACATATAGCAACATAATTATTATTATTATTATTATTTATTTTTTACATTAAAATAATCATTATTGATTATACTTGTATTTTACATTCTAATTTTACTAAATATATTTAAATGTGGAATGGGCAATGAGCCATTTAGCTGAACTTTAGCTTCTTAACTTCAGCTTTGGCTGAAGTTAACTTAATATTGTATTTTTGCTTAACGCCTAATTTTAATGGGATTCGAGATCTAACAAAAATTGCTGCCTACTACCCGACGGGAAGATGGCAAGCGTCTAGGGCTTAGGGAAAGGGCCTTAGAATGAGAAAAGACGTACTGAAGTCTCCAGTGAGGAACAGAGCCTCGGCGGCTGGGGCCCACTCCTTAAAGACGAGGCTGTTGTCTGGCATCCGCTGTACTCCGTAACTCTTATAGCTGCGTGTGAACTGATCAAAGCCTCCTTCGGCCTCCTCAAGGAGTGTGAGCTGCTTCTCAAACAGCCCATACCTTCAAAAACAAAGCAGAGGAAAACTTATTAGCAACCATAGACAGAATAGATGCTGTATCTCACACATTAAAGCAAGTTCCACAGCTGAAAATCCTACAAAAACATGAATATGTGTAATGTCTCTGAGCATCAGCCATAGTAAATATATCATACCATAAAGACGCTATGGGCAAAATACAAAACAAGTATATCCCAATACACAAGAAAACAAACCAAGAGAAATCTGAATGACTGTTAACCAATTTATTTGGCATTCAAAAGCCTCATCTGAATGATTTAATAAGTTAATATTTTATATTATTATATACGCCTCCTATTGAACAACGCTTGGCAGAAGAACCACATTTACCCTCAGGATCGTCTTTGAAATCTCAAAGTTGAGTTCGCATTTGAAAACAGCCGCCCACTCATGTATATTAATGGAGGTTGCCATTAACCCGGCATCTTCGACACACCGCACATTACATCACCCGGAGACATTAAACACCTAAGCATGCATCCTGTTCTTTGACTTCACTTCTGTTTTCAATATCATCCACCTTCTTAAACAGAAATATGGGCACTGAGCCAGCCAAGTGCTGGCAGCTGCTCGATTTTCTACAAGGGAGATGAAGTTCACCTCCCACCTTCTGGCCATCAACAAAGGTGTGCCATAAGGCCCTGTACTCCCCCCACTTATACTCTGTGCTCACTTGGCACTTTGTGTCAACTGAGTGGCGAACCTTTCATGTTGGGGGCAGTCATGGCCTAATGGTTAGAGAGAAGGTTGCGGGTTCGAGTCTCAGGTCCGGCAGGGATTGTAGGTGGGGGGAGTGAATGTACAGCGCTCTCTTCCACCTTCAATACCATGACTGAGGTGAGACCCTTCAGGCACAGAACCCCCAACTGCTCCCCGGGCGCCGCAGCACTGGCTGCTCACTGCTCCGGGTGTGTCTTCACAGTGTGTGTGTGTGTGTGTGTGTTCACTACTGTGTGTGTGCACTTGGATGGGTTAAATGCAGAGCACAAATTCTGAGTATGACATGTCACTTCACTTTCACTTTACATTTTCTTGTTCATAAATATGCTAGCTTAACTTCAAAGCAGAGCAACACTGGCTGAATGACGGTATAACAATATATACCACCTGATAGTCAAAATGTGTCAGTCGATTTTACTATTTATGACCTAAACTATTTACACCAAGGTACATATTTAAGATGTTTTTTTTTTTGTTTTTTTTTTACATAAGATGGTCTTTGTTTTTTTTAGCTCAGATGTTTTATAACATGAAGTCGTGTTTTTGCACTAATGCTAAACATAATGGCTTATAATGGATAAATCTGTTAAATGATAAATACATATTTACACACTACTGTTCAAATGTTTGGAGTCAGTAGTTTTTTTTTTTTTTTTGGAAATAATTGTATTTTTTTTTTTTTTTTTTTTTTAGCAAAGATGCATTAAATTGTTCAAAAGTGCCAATAAAGTCATTTATAATGTTATTTGTATAATGTTAATATAATATTAAGCAGCAGAACTGTTTTCAGCATTGATAATAATAATAAATGTTTCTTGTGCACCAAATCAGCATATTAGAATGATTTCTGAAGGATCATCTCACACTGAAGACTGGAGTAATGGCTGCTGAAAATAAAACGTTGCCTGGAATAAATTACATTTTAAAATATATATTTTAAAATGTAATTTCAAATTGCAATAATCTTACACAATATTACTGTTTTGCATTTTTTATCAAATGTTAGGCTTGATGATACTTTTCAAAAGTATTGACTGCAAACCTTTGAACTGCATTGCATACATGGATACTGTGATATAAAATCACTCATACTGTGATATAAGATTTCAGTCATATCCAACTCTACAGCACAATTTCTGAAAATACAGCACAATATCAGCTAGAAGTGGATAAAGCAATCACCTGATGTGCTAACAATACGCTATGAATGACCTTTTTGAGGTCACTTTATTCTTCAGGCACTTACAGACCTCAAACTCCCTGTCTCCACAAACCATAACAGACTACTTATGATTCTTAGGCACCTATACCTGTTGTTCTAGACTATCTCATCTAGAAGGCATTTCAGACATTATCTTCCTCAGACAAATCAAGGAAGTGTGTATCCACTTCTAGCTGATATTGTGCTGTATTTTCAGAAATTGTGCTGTAGAGTTGGATATGACTGAAATCTTATATCACAGTATGAGTGATTTTATATCACAGTATCCATGTATGCAATGCAGTTCAAAGGTTTGCAGTCAATACTTTTGAAAAGTATCATCAAGCCTAACATTTGATAAAAAATGCAAAACAGTAATATTGTGTAAGATTATTGCAATTTGAAATTACATTTTAAAATATATATTTTAAAATGTAATTTCAAATTGCAATAATCTTACACAATATTACTGTTTTGCATTTTTTATCAAATGTTAGGCTTGATGATACTTTTCAAAAGTATTGACTGCAAACCTTTGAACTGCATTGCATACATGGATACTGTGATATAAAATCACTCATACTGTGATATAAGATTTCAGTCATATCCAACTCTACAGCACAATTTCTGAAAATACAGCACAATATCAGCTAGAAGTGGATAAAGCAATCACCTGATGTGCTAACAATACGCTATGAATGACCTTTTTGAGGTCACTTTATTCTTCAGGCACTTACAGACCTCAAACTCCCTGTCTCCACAAACCATAACAGACTACTTATGATTTTTAGGCACCTATACCTGTTGTTCTAGACTATCTCATCTAGAAGGCATTTCAGACATTCTCTTCCTCAGACAAATCAAGGAAGTGTGGAGTCAGTCAACACCTCCTTGTTCGATTCTGCAGAGCCATTCTGTTCTGAAAGCTAATGTCTGTGTGTGTGTGTGTGGTATAAAAGCACATACAAGCTAACAAGGAAAAAAAAACTGGAACACATTGTTAGGGGAAAAACATTCACACATATTATTGACTTCAAAAACACACTTGAACAACAACATCTTACCAACAGGCCACAATAAAGCCTGCAATCAATACAACATCTTAGTATTATGTATATGTTAATACAGTATGTGAACATCAAAAAACCTGTCAATACCTAGATCAAATACGATTTATTTATTTGTTTGTTAATTATTTTTACCTTATACTTAGTAAATACTAAATATCTTAGATATTTAATAATGATTAAACATTTAAAAATATATAAATGTTAAATATTTAATAGTAATTTAATGATTTTTAATAGCAATTCACCTGTCTATAAGTTGGCATGTTGAACTTAAGGCTTACGTTTGTCCACCTTTTTTATTTAAGCCTCGCTCCTTTTATTATTATTATTATTTTTTGTTTTTACATATTTTGTGCGGTTTTGTCCTGTCCCATCCAGTATATATAATCCGTACTGTATTGTGCATTTATAGTGCTGTAATTACAATCTATATGTAATTGTCATGTGTTATATAGAAACGTTATACTAAAACCATTTAAACCCTTTTCATGTGTTATTAAAGATGTTATTCTATTCTGCAGAAGTATTTTGTATTTTTTTTGGACAATGACAGAGTCACATGACTTGAAAATGGCCATGACATTTAACATCACAAAGGCAAAAATATGCCTTAATAAACATCACTTAAGGTACTTCAGAGCTAAAAAAAGGAACAAGCTCTTCAGTTCTACTTGTTTATTTCTGAACAACCAATACTTCTGTCGCACAGCTCTACATTAACAGTGACTTAACATCTGCTTTTGAAACGCAAGTGCTCACAACACACTAGAGAACACCTTATGGCTAATTCTCATTCTTCAAAACAATCAATAGCATTTAAGATCCCCTTTGCCACCTGCTGCTTATCAGATTCCCTGGTTGGATGCCGTCGCTACAAGAATTAAATGCTGACTCCAAACAGCTAAGCTCTCAGCAGTCTGTCAAACGCCAACAGCATTCACACACAGGGCGATTTTCTGCGATAAAACAACTGGAACTCATTAGTTTTCAATAAGAGTTGGTGGCTTCCGGCAGCATGAGCAATAATGGTGCGATGAAGCTAAGCTCAACTTTCTGCAAATGAGCAGCAATTACCAACAGACTAAAAATGGCTAGTGGAATCCAACAGTATAGAGACTCATGAACCAGAACGCCCCCTCAGGCCCACTGCTGGAGATGTTGATGGGTTGAAGAAGACGCCAAAGCTCTTGGATGGTGCCCGAGGATGAAGAGTGCAAGCTGTTCCAGTCTGAACAGCCAAAATATTGTCTGCATCCTCAATGTGAACTTTAAGCCTGAAGAGCTGACAGGCCTAGCATGGTCAAGCAGAAACCTTGGGGCTTGTCCATTTAGATCCCAGACACCGTCAAAACAAACGTCCCATGACATGTTTCGATTTTCTGAACTCTTTTGAATACATTTTGATGCTGCTTAAACATGCTCTGGGTGGCTGAATGGACCCCAGGCTCACTTGCGGTTGACTTAACGGTTAACCTTAGGAATGCGGTAAACTGCATCATTTAGTGGTGTTTGCTTGAGGCAGATTGTTAGGGAGAGGCATGCTAAAACTTAACTATGTGAGTGGACAGACAGTTTTCTTGTCCGTTGATACCAAAACGAGGGAAAAAACCATCAAGCCATATAATAGAGATGTGGTCGGCGGTTTTTGACTTGGGCCCGTAAACGGACACCGAATAACTACCTGTAACCTGTTTTTTCTTACATAATCTTAACAATTTCTCACTAATCATCACTCACTATTTGATTCTAAGGAAGCTCTGTAAAATTAGCCACTCACACACAGAAACTCTTAATTCCTAGTTTCGTAGGGATACAGTACCATTCAAAAGTTATGGTTTTTAATGTTTTTGGAAAACAAAAATATAATTTGGTCAAAAATACAGTAAAAACTGTTACATTGTGACATATTATTACACTTTAAAACACCTTTTTTACATTTCAAAATGTATTTTTTCATGTGATCACAATACAGTGAAACTCTCATGTTGT